TGATTTTTTTCTCAATAATATTATCATAGCTCCAAGCACTACTCATATATGGTCATTAGTCCAGAACTGGTCAGCAGGCTATTGTCCCAGTCTGTTGGAGGAGAACTTAAATCATGACACCGAGTCCCTTATTCAGAAAGCCTTTATACAAATGAGCATGGGCTAAAGCACACAGAGCTGAGGCTGTTGCTGCAGTGGAAGTTCTCAGGACAAGGAACAGTCCCCTGGTCTTTAGTGGTACCCATCTGTACCATCATCCTCCACCTCATCCTTCTAATGGGATGCTGGTGGCCTCCTTCCTCCTTGACTCTGCAAATCTCCATCAGATTCCATGAACAGGCTTCCTGCAACAATGAAGCATGCTTGTCAGTTGAGATTTCACAGTTAACACAGTGAATGGTTTTCAGTAAGTAACACTGAGCAGCTGTGATAAAACCGATATTGTTTCATAGCATCCGAAGCTGTGCTCTGAATTATTGGCCAATTAACTTTCTTACTTTAGGACTTATTCATCTCTAAGAAGTAGGCGTTTTCAGGACCTTATTGGACAATCCAGCTATCCCAGAAATCACAGAGATCTACCCATGTCCACTGGGTGTGGGTATTAAAGCAATGTTCCACTGAACCTGGATAGTTACAAATTTTCAGCAACTTTACTTTTTCCTTCTTTTTTATTTTGTTCCATTTGCTGTGCTATGAAGGGAACCCAGGACCTTGAACACAATAGAAAAATGTTCTTCTGCCAGCTGCATCTTGAGCCCAGGACTCATTCATTTCTAAAGAGTTTCAAATTTCTTAATGAGGTTTAAACTATACAAAGCAAATTAAGTTGAAATTTTTAATAACTCCTTAGAATATGATGGGACCCATATTGTCAATCAGAAGAAGTGACACTGATCCAATCTTCAAAAGAGTTTCTGGTCTTTCTGTGACTTGTAGGTCCATAAGGAGGATGCTGGAAGGAAGGTGGAAGGCAACAATCTGATAAATCCAATGATAAAGGAAGGGTGGCTCCAAAGATGGCTGAAGATCCACAAGGCAAAGCTGTACCAGATGTTACTCTAGGCATGAGAGTCTCACGTACTTGTTTCAGTTTCCAAAGTGCTTAGACCAAGGACTGCTCTTCACGTGCATTTTCTACACACTAATAGGAATGTCTCTAACTAGTATGTTATGATTGTGTGGGGTATAGAGTGATGAAAGGGGAGTCTGATAATGTCCATTGGTCACTATGATACTTACCAGACCAAGAAGAGCATGAAAACCTGCAAATATGTAAAGCTGTATTGAACAACATGGGCATCCGCAGGGAAAAGAGGCTCATATAAAGGAAACGTTCTTCCTTGGACAATCAAAGTCTTTTTAGTGCCCAGGATAGAGTCCAGTACTTTGCACACACTAGCATTATAATACACTGCACCCGGTGATCATCTTTCAACAACCATATGTTTTATCTACTCATTGCACACTCACAGTGAGCACTACCATAGTAAAATTCTGAGACTGGCCTGCAGTGAAGAAACTTGCTTAATACTTCTGTGTTCAGCATTTCCCACACTTGTTTGGCGATTAAGGACAGCAGCCACATATTGGCCATGTGAATTGAATGTTCATTACACTGACTGAAGAGAAAGTAGGTGATACATGTGTTTGAATGAAATAATTAGTCTATCACAGTACACCCGTTATTTACTAATGCATTACATAATCAACACAAGAGTGTGTATTTGTACAGAGGTTGTCTGTTGGAAAGGAAAATGAAATACTAACAAAAGAAAAATATATTATGATATCTTTAAAAAACAATTGTAACTATACAACAGTGCACTTAATACTAATAAGTACATAGGATAAAGGAAATAACTGTCTAAGCAGCACTTGTCCCATAGGAACCTGTCTTAGCTTTCATCTTAATGGCTTTGGTATTCTCTGTATATCTATGGAGGGTGGATAAAGGACCTGTTCCCTGTGCCTTCTGCCTTCCCTGGAAGTTGGAAAGACTGATGTTTTGCATGTGGTGTAGTGCTTACTTTTGCATGTCTGTGAGATGATTTTTAAAAGGAAAGTTATGTTTCTTTGTCTCTCTTGCTCCCTGAGCAAAGGCTACTGGGGAAGGAGAGCTTTTATTTGCGTTACCAGTGACCATCCATCATCCATGGACACCAGGACTATATTATATGCTTGAGGCAGGAGCTGAAGCACAGAGTGTTAAGGTGTGCTGCATGGTCTCTTGCTCCCCATGGCTTGCTCATGGAGTATCTCTCTCTTTTGTTACAGTAAGTTTATTTTCAGTTGAAATATACTCACATCCTTGATCCCCTCTTCTCTGAAACCCTTCCAATCCATCCAAAAATTCATGTCCTCTTTTATTATTGCTGCCTTTATAAATAAAGAAGCATATATAGGCATATGATACAATAAGTATATAAAGCTAGTTGTGTCCATTTACTCTTGCATGTATGTATATGGTTTTGGAGCTAACACTATGCATAGGACATTGGACATCCATTTAAGAAGTTCACTTCTAGGGAACATTGGGAAGAAAAACAAAGAATGAATAATTACCAAGAATACAAATCATATTAACTTACAGGTAAAGGACAGAAACATTTGGCCTAATAGGCTTCCAAGGTCTCGTGCTACACTGGTATGTAACTGCAACTTCTGACTCTTTACATTTAAGTGGTCCAGAAGGAAGAGATTCGTACAAGAAGCAGGCAGGGATAATGTCCTCTTAAGAACCAGCCCCTGGGTCATGCTTTTCCTACCTAGTCCCTATATTGAAATGTCTTCAGAAACTCTTAAAATAGTTCCCCTGTTTGTGGACTAAGATTCAGTATCCAGATAGAACCTATAGGAAGAATCACCTATTCAGTTAACTGAAAAGTCATCTGTGGCATTCCCTTATACTTCTTATGAAAAATCAATGACTTCTAAAAGTGGTGTATTTGAATACAACACCCAGGAATAAAACTATAGGACCTACTTTTAAACAGAGAAAATGTTGTTCCTGCAAACTGTCAATGAGTATAAAGCTGTGTAAGGACCATCCTCATACACTACATCCATCAAAACATCCCTTCAAATGTGTATTTTTGGCACATCAAGTTCATCTTATTTGCTTCAAGTTTGTCCTTGAATTAATTGTCACCTCCACATTCAGTCTCATAATTTTCGGTGGAATCATCAGCTGCTTTCTCTGTCCTGATTTCTACTGGAAGGAACTCATGCAAGTTACAGAACAATTGATGGAACATTTATGCAACTGTGAAAGTCAACAAAGCTACTCAACATGTTTTGGCTTTGCACCAAGAAGACATGCATAGTATGTATTGTATTTTACCATAGTAATGTTGCAGGCCCATTGTAGGCAGCTGCCTACAGATTCTTGAATTTGTAATACTTAGAAGTTTACTGAATTAGTAATGATTTTTTAAATGACCACATGTAGCACTTGGAAATACTCAGACAATGATGGTATTGAATATCAAGGTTCAGAGAATTCTCTTTAGGTGTTGTAGTTTCCCCTGTCCAAAAGCTGGAATTGACTAAGGACAAATTGTATTAGAAACAGGGCAACTTGTGCAGGAATATTCCAGGAAAAAAGAAGGGAGAGAGCAACAAGATAGGCTTCAGCAATTCTAATGACCCTATTGTGCAAAGGATGTAGTGTTTTCTGTCATCCCATAAGCTGTTGGACTCGTTGTCAGTTGTGAGCATTTTCTCTATGGGTCTCTGTGTGTGGGGATGCATCTGCATGACTTTGCTTACGGAGTCCAGAGATCCATGTTCTTACGTACATTAATTGAGGTTATTCATTGCTGCAACTTTACTACAGGATGCAGACATGTCCTGCAATATGGAGCCTCCCCCAGGAGCCAAGATAGAGTGGGGTTCCTCCATAAAGTATTCAGACTTCACATCAAAGGCTTAAAACCAAAGATCACTGACATGCAGGTGTATGAATAGTTAACAGCAACGCTGACAAAATGTGCTTTCCAGTTCTCTCAGAAAAAGTTATGACTCCATGTGAGCAACATCAGGGACAAGACCTTGCGAAGTATGTTCAAACAATGCTTAACTTTATTAAGTAAAGCTTCATAAACAGATGCACAATGTACAATTAAAAGAAAAATTAAATTGAAACTTTCTTATGTAAAATAGAGCAGTTTAATTTGCAACATAAAAACAGGCACCAATTATTCCATAGTAATTGTGGACATTGGGTTGGAGAATTATAAAGGTTAATGATGAAAATATTTAATTTTAGCTTAGTTTATACAAACAAAATATGTATTTAAATAAATACAGCTTTAAATTGAATATCTCTTGGAAGAAACAGTTCATTACAGCTCTCACAGCCTGAGGCTAATATTAAAGGAGACCTAAGATATAAATAGATATTTACCATTATAAGAATATCATTGGAATCCAAGAGTAAACAGATCTCCTTACTTGGGAACATTTTGTGATTTGGAACATCTGTGACACTTTTAGAAATGTTCATAGCTGGTCTAAGTCCAATGTCACATGGATTGTGTTCAACATTAAAGGAAAAGACAGATAGACACTCACATTAGGACAACTAGCCTGATTGACAGTAGAATAAACAGTTCAAACAAAAGTTAATAATAAAACATTAAATATCAAGGAAATTAACAAAAACTTACAAACAAAACCAGAAAAATTGTAAAAATTAAACAACTGAAAAATAATTCAACATTAACATCAGTCACAAAATCTTGAAAGTAGCATGCTTATCAGCATGTTATGATGGTGGGCTGTGTGTTTCTAACATGTAGTAGGCACATACATCACATTGATTTCCTCAGATGCAGCTCTTTCTTGCTGCAAGTTAGCAGTACGTGGAAGAGTGTTGGGGCATCACCAACTTTTTACAGGCTAGAACCTGTTTCAAGGCTTTTAGTCACCCTGCCTGAAGTCCTTGCAGCATCTATAAAAGACTGCAGGGCAGCCTCAGCAGCCAGTGAGTGCTGCTGCTAAAGTAAGCACTTATGCAGGATTTCCCATACCATCTTCTTCCTAAACAGAGGCATATGCTTCTGAGAGAAGGTTATGGGTTGGCCTCTCGAAATATAGTCTGCGTATTTACAGGTGAACACTCCACAATCACTCTTATTCAGCTGCAGAGGAATCTCCTCTGCCGCCATGCTGTGTTGCCTCCACTCCAAAGGATCCAGATCTATATTCCTTCTCGCTTTGCTCTCTTCTTGCAGGTACTGGAAAATCATCCTCAGGACACTTGGTCTTTTGAGTCCCATGGAATCCCAGTAGGCAATGGTCTTCTGTCGTAGGTCTATGACCACCAAATTCCAGTGGACCTCCAGGTGTATTGGGACAAGGACAATGTCCTTTTCAAAGATATTCACGGCCCGGGTCCACCTCTTCACAGACCTGTATCCCCGACACTTGAGTTTCGTATGGAAGAATGTATTAAAGGTGTGAATCGCAGCATAGTCTGGTGATTTGCTTCTTTGAGAGAGCAGGTTCACATAAAAATTTATGATGTCATCATTGAGCCATTGGCTTTCCTGTAGAGTCTGCATGTCTCCTCGAGTAATGTTCAGTTTAAATGCACTGCTTGGGTTGTCCTCCTGTGGCCCTGGAGCGAGTGCACTCATGATTTCCTTCTCCATGTCAGATGTTATATCAGGGCCATGGTCTTGGCTGCTGTCCTTCTCTTGCTCCTCAAGAGGCTTCTCCTTGCCCCCAGGCTTTACCATGTTCTTGTGGAAGATGGTGTCACAATTTTTGGAGTTTGGGGTCTCAGCTCCTCCCAGAATGTCAGGCTGGGGGTGGTGACTTGTTCTCTTGTTTTCAAAATTCACTCCAACTGTCTTTTGGGTTTCAAAATGTGTCTTTGGGGAGTAGATCTTTTCAGTTTTGACTGGTGAATGGTGTCTTGTGACAGGATGTCTGGATTGATTTGGCTGGAACAGAGTTGTTTCACATCCATGAATGTGCTCTTCCATGCAGCCTTTGATGATCTTCAGGTTGTCCGCATGTCTTGTGTGAGAGCTGGGAGGACCACAGTGGGCAGCTTCACTGGGTTGAAGATGGTCCAACAACCTTCTGCATTTTTCATTATGCTGTTTCTCAACTGTGTCCTGTGTGTCGGAGTAAGTGCGCTTGCAACTCCTGCCAGCACCCTCACATTTAACCTCAAAGACATCCTCTGTCTGAGGGTCTCTGACCTTGTCCTGGTTTTCTGGGTGCAATGCACCCTCTTCCATGGGATTCAATGCCTGAGGATTTCCAGGCTCTTGATGGGCAGGCTCTTTTTCACTGTGTTCTTGTTTCACTCTCTTTGGAGACTCATGTGGCTCCTCAGACTTCTCATCAGTTTCTCCTTCCTCCTGGATCTTTCTTTTTTTGAAATTTTACTGCACGTTTGGGACACACGGTACCAAGCTGCTGGGTATGTTGCCAATTTGAGGAAGGGCTTGGCCTACCCGTGGTCAGGAACAGGCTGTCTTCTAAGCAAGAGCCTTTTAATTTCCATGAAGTTCAGGTTAACTTGACTCTTTTTTTATCATTTTTTATTTTAATTTTAAATAGCTTGTTTTACATGTCAACCCCAGTTCCCTCTCCCTCCCCTCCTCCCGCACTCCCCTTCCCCCCTCCCTCCCACCCTATTGCCAAATCCTTCCACATAGGGGATATCTAGAGTCTGTCATTTTACTCTTGGTAGGGTCAAGGCACTCCCCTAAGAGTCCAGGCTGAGAGAGCATCTCTCTTTGTGCTATAGGCACATGAAGACAGTTTGTATACCAGGGATAGACACTGATCCACAGCTCAGGGCCCCATAGGTTGCCCAGGCCTTCTCACTGACACTCACATTTGGGGGGGGGCCAGATCAGTCCCATGCTGGCCTCCCCACTGTCGGTCTGGGGTCCAAGAGCACTCTGCTGTTCAGATCAGCTGTCTCTGCTGGTTTTGCCAGCCCATTCTTTGCCAATTTGCTCATCACTCCTCTCTCTCTGTCACTGGGTTCCTTGGGTTCAGTTCAGTGCTTAGTTGTGTGTTTGCCTCTGCTTCCATCAGTCACAGGATGAAGGCTCCCGGATGGTTATAGACATCAAGTTCATTATCAGGAATGGGCATTCGAGGTGGTCCCTCCACTATTGCTTAGCTTGCCAATTGATGTTATACCTTTAGATCACTCGAGGTCACTCTGGTGCCTGATCTGTCTTCGATCCTATGATTCCCTCTTCCCCCTATTCTACCCCCACCCCCTCAACTTCCTGTTCCTCCATGACCAACTCCCTTCCTCTTTACCCCCTCTATTCTTCCTAGGTCCCACTCCCCCCCCACCCCTCCTTTTGGGATACTGTTGTATTGATATCTGATAGATTAGTTAGTCCACTAGGAGTCATTTTATCCTCTTGAGACCTTTTGGTTAAAGTTCAGAATTCACAGTGTAAAATGCTAGATGTCCTCTTTAATAGTGGAGGAACACTTGGCGTTGGAGACAGGAGGAAAGTGACACCAGATGGATGTGACAGGATGAAAGTGCACTCTTTACTCACTGAGTCCATCAATCAATTCCTGTCTCTTAGGAGGTAGTTCACTAGTAGTTACACTGTAGACGGTTCAATGGTCTTGATGCAAAATCTTGTACTGTGGGAAAAGTGGGATCCAGAGGGCAATAGGCCTCAGTGTACCCCAAAATTGAGGTAATCACTATAAGTTTTGTAGCCAGTAGCTCCAACGCATAAGACCTAGGCAGCACAGTTAATAAATTGGAGGCAAGACTGTTTGCCTCTCTCTTGCCTTGGATAAGAGCCCAATGCTCTTTAGTTGGTTATGATGCAGTTTGATGCTTCATGAAACGTTCTATAGTGAGCGCAGCCCACACCCACCGTCTTCCAGATCAACAGTCATTTTTATGGCTTTTTTTTAAAGATAGGGATTCTCTGTAACAGCCCTGGTTATCCTAGAACTCACTTTGTAGACCAGGCTGGCTCGGTCCTCACAGAGATACAGCTGCTTCTGCATCCTGAATACATGAAGTACTGTGTATGCCACCATTGCTGGCCAGTTTAAGGGTCTTAATGCTTATTTCCATTATTTAAGCTTCTCTTAGACTGTGCCTGTTTAAAAGCTGGAAGCAAACACAGAATAAGTTAACTCAAGGGGGCATAAGTGTAGCTGTGTCTTCAGAAAGGGGGAGACTATTGGGAAGAAAGGTAGATTTCATTTTTCTGAAATGCAAAGTCTCGGAGAGAGGATTAGATCCATTTATACACATCTCCTTTCCTCTATTCTGGACAGAGGATTAGGCTCAGTTCACCAATACATCCATAGAGGTTTCATTTATTTTGCACAGGTATTGTTCAGGCAGTGTATGTTCATCTAAGTAGAAGCTAAGAGCCAATGCAGAGTCAGGTTACTCCCTCCTCCTAGACCTAGGGTACACATACTGGATCAAGGTGAATCTGGGTTAGCTGCACCCTGAGTGATTATCAACCCCTCACAAAAACAGTGAAAGCAAAGGGGAGAAGCTTTTGATTTGTTGATCCCCGAGATGTGTCAGTTGTCTGTTGTGTCATCACAGCCTAGCTCATCCCACGATCCTGCTGCCTCTTAGGGAAGAATCTCCTTTCTGGTGCTGTTTTTAATTACAGAAAACAAACTAAGTATCATTCCATGACTTAGAGTCTAATGTTTCTAACTTTAGTGGATGAAATTTACCAAAAAAGGAGATTTTCTCTATATCTGTGTATTTCCTCTCCATATTTTTAGTAAGTACAAATAAAGTTACAGATGTGAGGCCTGGTGGACACCAATTATCAACAACATATCCTTTAACAACAATAATGGGTTAATCATTGATCTGTTGAAACCTGTGAACACCTGATGTGTGTGGGTTAATATCAGGGATTTCAATTAGATTCCATTTGTCTACCTGTCTATCTTTGTGCCAGTACTAAGCTGTTTTCAGGGCTATAGCTGCATAATAGAACTCAACATCCTTAGCCATTAGGGAAATGCAAATTAAAACAACTCTGAAATGCCATCTTACTCCTGTCAGAATAGTTAAAATTAAAAACACCAATGACAGTTTATGCTGGAGAGGATGTGAAGAGAGGGAACACACCTCCACTGCAGGTGGGAGTGCCAACTCGTACAGCCACTTTGGAAATCAGTATGGAGATTCCTCAGAAAAAATGGGAATCAGTCTACCACAAGACCCAGTAATTCCACTCTTAGGCATATACCCAAAAGATGCACACTCATACAACAAGGACGTCTGTTCCACTATTGATGCTGCAATGATAAATGGCACCTTGTTGAGGTTATAGGTAATTGTTTATTGTAGAAATTACTCACAAGAGAAAAACTAGCAACCCAGATGAGTCGAGTAGTTTTCCGCCACTGAATTGGAAGCCAAAAGAGAGTGAGCTCTCTGCTGTTCAGTCTTTTATTCCTTCCTCCGTGCACACCCCTAGCCATGTCCAAAGGTGGGCCTGGCTAGTGGTGCAGTTCCGCCGCTCTGTGTCTAGTCATGCCCAAAGTGGGTGTGGTTAGCGACACGGTTCCGCCCTTTTGTTACCACATCCGTATGCATCTTTAGAGCACCACATGGATAATGGCGGAGTCCTAAGTTTCCCCATTCAATTCCTCTTTTAGTCTAAAAAGGATATCTAAACTTAAAACAAAACTAACTTGTGTCAATGAACAAAATGTCTCAAACATCTATCCCATCTAAACCTAAACTTATCTAAAGAAACACCCAAGTCTGAACACCTCCTTCCAATCCCAACTCTAAAATAATTGAAAACTAACACTAACAGGTGTAAACTATCCTATAATATCAATAGTAGGGAGATGGAGCATGGGATTCTCAAAACTACTTCCTGCTGAGATAGGACAATGACAATCTCATGGGGACCTGTGAGAAGAAAAATGTTAGTGTAACAAAATCTTCAATAGATTAGACAGTCTCTGTTTGGCAGGAGATGCTTGATTGAAGTTCCTGATTGGAGTTCTAGTGTTGATTGAAGCTCTTGTCTGAAGCTCTGGCAAGATTGTAGAAGGTGCACTGTATCAGTTCCTTGGTCTGGAGTTGTGTCGAGTGATGTAGTTCCAAGCCAGTTTCAGGATGGTGCTGGTCAGGTGGAGTCGATGATGTGGGGCAGTTTAGGTGCACCCAGTCGAATCAGGTGGAGTTGATGAAGTGGAACCTCATTCTCTTTCCGAAGCAATTGAAGATTGCTGTCAGGAAATCCCTTGTTCTCTGGAAAACTCAAACATTAACGTTAACAAAGAAATTTTTTAACTTTTATATGCATGCATACTGGAAAAGGTGACAATAAGGAAGATGGTAAACATGAAGGAAATTAGACTTTTCAGAAAGTCTTCCTAATATAATTTTTCTGTCTTATAACAATGGCTCTTTGATATAATACAGAAATTCTGAATTTCATTTAAACAATATGCTAATATGCTTGAATTTAGAGCCAATCCAACTCCAAAGCCAGCTTCAGTTAAATGAACGGGGACTAAAGAGTATTAAGAAAATGGGTATTACAAAAAACAATATAGAGAGATTTAACTTTGATACCACACAGTGAGTTATTGTTTGTTTGATGGTCCTCAGGGCAGCTATTCATTCTTCTTCAGGTATCCATACTTCCAGTATATTTTGCTGAGTTTACCTGTGAAGGCCAAAAAACAAAACACTTCTCTTTCCTTTTATGAGGTCCCCATGGTATGAACAGCACCCCAATCCAGCAGGAAGCAGTTTGGAATGAGCGATGTCCAAATTCCCATATTGTTTATAAATCTTTGTTTTAAATTAGATTGCTTATAATTGGTTAATGATCACAACCAATCTCTTTTTAATGGTAAAAGGGAAATTATGGTATGGAAATGAATACTTGGTATGGATATAGTTTTTCATTTATTGATACAAATTCAAGGTCAATTTTGTGATATGTGTATTTCTCCTCTTGATTAAGTATTGTGTTTATACTGATCTTTTAAAATATAATGCATAATTAAATACAGACTATAGATAGTTATTTATAATAGTCAGAACTTATACTTAGGTTAGTTAGGTTTTCTAGATATACAGAAATATATTTGAGATAGTTAGTCTTCAAACCTTTCAAAGACCTTCAGAAAATGGCATTTAAAATGGTTTAGGGTTTTTCTTGACAATGAGAAATGTCTGCTCCTGGCAGCACCAATTACGTCTGAGAGGAAGATGGGCATCAAAGAGACGTGT